CGCTGGAGGCTGTCTCTGCGATTGTGAGACCTGCCCCAGGACAGTTAAGATGAGCGAGCACAATGGAAGAAATGTGTGAATACATTTGGAGAAGCTATTTTTTTTTACAGCATTGATGTAAAACCTGAATGACTTGATTTGCTGTGTATGCGTTTCAGCTAGCTGTATCCGGAAACTATATCTTGGTTATAAAAAGCTATCCCTCCTCATTATTGCGTTGTCAAATTCCCAAACAAGCCTAAAAGAGTCTAGTGTCTATTCATGTATAGTGAAAAGAAGAAGGTTTTTTGTATATACTCAGAAAAAAGTCTCCATACATTTGCTTTGGCATAGCTTTAATTGGGTTCTGAAATGGATATTTTAAAATGCGGTATTCTTGTATAACGGCATGAGCTGGTTGGACGAGGTAAAAAATAATTGAGGCAACTTCAATTCACAGCAGCAGTCGTCTTGGAGAACTTTACAAAATTGTCGATTTGCCAACAACAAATCAGAGCTTGAAAAAGTTTGAAAATGTAAATAAAAGGGCATAAATATCTGTCCTTAGACCCTCCTGTATTCAGATTCAGACTACTTTATACATCCCACCAGGAGCAGTCCATTTGAGCAGCATGGCGCATAGAGCATAAAAAAAACAGTAAACATAGTGATAATATTAATAGTAATGATAATAATAAAAACACAAGACATGTCAATCAATATAAGTGATAAGAAATGAAGGGCGGACATTGGCTAGGAACGACTCAAAAAGAAAAAGGACAGTGGGAAAAAATGTGAGAAACCTCATTTTGTCTGACTGTGACCACAAACATATACACAGACTCTGGTAACACTTTAGATTAGCCCTCACTAATTAACAGCTAATGAAAGGCTGATTAGAGTAACCCTAACCCTAAAACTAACCTTAACCCTAACCCACATGGTAAAATATCAGTGAGTATAGATGTAGAATAAGGACTAATACGTGCTTAACAAATACCATTTAAGAGCTCATTAACCATGAATTATAAACTACTTAGCACTTAAGTAGCTGTGTATTAGTGAGGGCTAAACTACAACGTGACCCAGACTTTATTTTTACATTTAAACAAAATAAAAAAGTAATCAGACATTGGACATTGAAGAAACAGCCTTAATGCACTCATGATGACGGTAGAAAAGGAGACATAATATTTATACTTTTAATTAGACCAAATTAGAAACCCAATACAAAATAACTGTCAAACACGCTTTTAATCCATTCCCTCACAGCCATGTAATATAGATAGATAGATAGATACTTTATTGATCCCCGTCGGAGAAATTCAGGTGTAGCAGCAAAAATGAAAAATATAATTGATAATTCTAAAAATCTAACATAGTAATAATCAGCAACAGCCCTTCAGGTCACAGCAGCAGAGGTGGTGTAGCCTCTGGGTGGAACAGGACGGGTCAAGGCAGCACAGATGGAGTAGCCTCTGGGTGGAACAGGACGGGTCAAGGCAGCCCAGATGGAGTAGCCTCTGGGTGGAGCAGGACAGGTCACTGCAGTAGAGATGGAGTAGCCTCTGGGTGGAGCAGGACGGGTCAAGGCAGCACAGATGGAGTAGCCTCTGGGTGGAGCAGGACAGGTCACTGCAGTAGAGATGTACATGTAGTAGTCTCTGGGTGGAGCAGGACAGGTCACAAGGTGGAGTAGCCGCTTGGTTCGGACCATTTTCTCTGGGTCGGCACTAGATCATATACAGAATCGGGACAAAACAGGAAGTAACAATCCTACTTTCGAATCAGTTTTAGACTAATAAGTCCTTAAATGGTGACTGGTTAAGTTTTAGGTGTCTGAGTAAGATGGTTAAAGCTAAATTACAGCAGTAGATATCTCGGAGGACTTTACACAACCGTTGAATTCACCAACATAGATTAGAGAATCAAACCACTCAAACACAAAATATAAAACAGAAAACACATACTGTAAAGCCATTGGCCCATAAGAGGCAGATAAATGTCCATAAGTGTCCTGGATGTGTCCTGGATCATCACCACTGTCTTTTGAGTTGCCTTGTGTATGAATTGCGCCATAAATATAAACTTGCCTCGCCTAATCTCACGCACGTCCTGAAAACCCACAGTACAGTATGCGTGCTCCCATCTGCTGCTGCTTTATCTTATTTTTGCCTGCGAGTGTTAAAACTTCTCCTGGAACGATAAGTGGTATCACCCCAACCGATAAATGAGCCGAGCCTACTTGGGGGCTCTTTCTTTTCTAATTTGATCAAGATTTAATGAAATGACATTAGGGAGACCGCATCTACTGATTTCCTTTAATTTTGAACGTGAAGAGTTGGAGCAGCTCTTGATGGAAGAATAATCAGCTTTAGACACAGAGCTTTTCTCTCGGCCGTGTTTGTCTGCCGCAGAAGCAGGTTGTAGATCAGTGAAGTAAAGCCGTCCCCAGTGTCACAGTGGACAGAACATACACAAGTTTCTCATTATTCTGTCTTCAGGCCACTGCAGTGGAGCTTCTTTCTGTCTACACATGTTCCATTATACTCAATTCGCTTCAATGTATTTTTATATTCTTGGGTTTCATATGACGTCAGGGCAGTGGTGCGAATCACAACCGTAGGACAGGACGTGACGTATCCTGGCGGTGCAGTCTGCCGGGTTTATACACGGAGATATAGTAGAAGAAGAAGCGCTGTCAAAATGCCATCTTTTTGTGCGGTGTACGCTTGTAGCAGCCGCGCAAATAGAGAGAAAGACTAGAGTTTATTCTGTGTTCCAACTGTCGTCTCATAAAAAGGCGGACACTTTGAAACAATCACTTGAATGAGGCGGGCAAGATGGATCGAGGCTTTCCCAGATAAGCGCCCCCTGCAGGCCACCCGCATGAAACGCAGCAATTTCTTCTGTTTTTTTCTTTCCAAAAATGCCCGAAATCAAGACTCTTATGAGAAATATTTTTAAGTACTCCCTTAGAATTGAGTGTCCCCGATTAAGACTACAACAACCGTACACCGCTCTGAAGGAGAGCCTTTTGACTCCAAAACAGACACGATTTACATGGTGTTTAAATCGTCCTTCTGGCCAGTTTAATGAAAGCCGAGAATAGACCTATATCACATCAGCAGTCATCTTGGAGATCTGTACAAAGTTGTCATTTTGCCAACAGATCAGAGAATCAAATACAGGAAATGCAATATTAACACAAAAGAGCCATTGATCCATAAGGGGCGGATGAAAATTGTCTATAAATGTTCATAAATATCTATAAAAGTGCTAATGTGTTGTGATTAAGTTTCATGACACTGATTTTGTATTTGAAAAAGTAACTTGAGATCTATGGTGTGCACTTGCCGTTGTGTCCTTAGGCAAGACACTTCACCCACAATGCCTAGAATGGTCAGAGGGGCCGATGCATCGTTGAGTGTCCAGAAAAGCACTGTATAAAGTCAGTGCATTAATTATTATTACACTGGACAATATTACAATCATTTCATATTTAAATTTCAATTTATTTCCATGTATAGCCCTGGATCACAACAGCAGTCGTCTGTTTTGACTTTACAAAGATGTCAATTCGCCCAAAATCTGTTTTATTCTATAATTTTTATTCTAAAGGTTAGTCTTACCTACCGAGCCATATTCTAAATTAAAGAGTAATGTTTTAAGCCTGGCCTAGTTGGATGGGGGGCTGATTCCAAAGCACAGGAGCTTGGTATCGAAACGCCCGCACAGTACAGTACACATTGAAATGGAAAGGTTAAATTCCTCTCTATGTCTTTGTGAATCTTAGTTCTGAAATTAAACTGTATTCTGTAATTATTTGAACCCGCATGTTTGTCGATTTCTTTGTGCATTTAACCTTTTCTCTCTATCATTAGGAGACACTCGCTCCTCTTTCCAAACATGAAAAAATAGTGTCAATTCGCTGCCTCAAAACAAATGTGAGCTCTCTGTACAAAGGCAGCCGCGGGCCAGTCATTTTGAAATTAAAGCATGACTTTTTGTTCCGCCTCGATTAGGAAAAAGGGGGAAGAATGTGTGTCATGTGCCGGGAACACGGCGAGGCTTTTTTTGTATTACAGCCAGCAAATCACAGTCTTTTATCTATTGGCCTCAATCAGCCGACATCCGCTGGAAAGGTGGGGGATTAGATTAGCAGAAAGTAGAGAGTGTCTCTGTAATCCTGATGGGTTTTTCACTTGTGTTCCGCTGCTGCAGAGGAGACACAGCTCTGTCGAGTTAGCGGTGGGCCAGGCAGCACAACCGCTTCACTAAACCTTACACTTGCATGAAAGAGGTTCCAGCAAACTGTGGGATTTAGTCTGAGTGTAATTGCACTTGAGGGCATTAGAGAAGCACGGTGCACTGACTCACACACTGTCTGGTCGCATTCTCAGACCAAACCAACCGCTCAAGACATACTCACTATTTATATTAAAGGGGCAGTATGTGATATTGAATTGTAATGTGAGTATGTGTCCTGAGATAAGAGGTCACATGGACAAACCATACTCGACCTTTTCTCAACAAAAGTAATTGGTTATAAAGTGAAGTCTTAATCAAAAATATAATGTACACGATGTCCATATAGTTATTTTTCTTTGTTTCAGACTCAAATTAAATTGCTCCATATTTTAAAAGATTAGGAATATTAAAAGAAACAATGTATTAAAATGTATTCAGTCATAATAATATTGTTTATGGTTTTCAAGCAGATTGTCCGATCAGAGAGAAGAAAGAGGCCCTGATTCGGGTTGCTAGTTTGTTAGGGAAAATCTAACTGGTTTTGGCTTGTCTTTTTTTATTAGTTTTTTTTGTTTTTTTTACAACATTCACTAACACAAAATATCAGCACAATTTTTTTTTACATGACACTAGGGACACAAATAAGTAGCCGCACATAAATGACAGAGTTTGAACCATTTCTAACCGGTGGATCAATGAGGTGGAGGATATTCTGGTAGCAAACCTTTCTTGGGTTTTGATTCTCATTCCATTTAAATAGGGGGGGAGCTATGAAGTTTGCGGTGGGTAAAAGGTCCGAGGGCCACATTGAAATGTGAATCGGGCTGTTTGTGACCCCTGGGCCACACTTTACCCCGGTCTGCTGAATGGATAAGATAAGAAAAGATTGTTATGTTCTGATTCATTTACACTATTTTTGGAAATTCAATTCAATTTAATTTACCAGTAGTTATCTTGGAGGATTTTTTAAAAACTCTAAAATTAGCTAACATAGATCAGAAAATAAAGCATTAGAAAAAAGAGAATGAAACAGTTCAAACACAAGAAATGCAATCATAGAAAAACACATAGAGCCATTTGGGCATTTGACCAACGTCCATAAATGTTCCTACTGTGTGTATTAATCTAATCTCATTCATGTTTGTGTTGTTGCAGGTCCGCGTGGCGAGTCGCTGCCGCATGGCCAGTCCGGGACGCTGCCGCACTTCCTGCTGGAGCCGATCAACGCCTACATCGTCAAGAACAACCCCATAAAGCTGCGCTGTCAGGCCCGGCCGGCTTTACAGATCTTCTTCAAGTGTAATGGAGAGTGGGTGCACCAGAGCCAGCACATGTCCCAGGAGCACACCGACGCTGGAACAGGTACCTGCCCTCGTCTGCACGGCTAAGACCAGAGCAGCCGCTTCAGATTCTATTCAGAGACACACACACATAGACACACAGACACAGATACAGACACAACCACAGACATGGATAAGATACAGACAGACACATACACATAAACATAGATTTAGATATAGACATAGACAAAGATATAGACAGACACAGACACACACACACACACACACACACACACACACACACACACACACACACACACACACACACACACACACACACACACACACACACACACACACACACACACACACACACACACACACACACACACACACACACACACACACACACACACACACGCACGCACACACACACACAGGTAAACACAACCACAGACATAGATAAGACACAGACAGACACACATAGACACACAAACACACATAGACACACAGCCACAGATACAGACAATACCACAGACATAGATAAGATACAGACAGACACATACACATAGACAAAGATACAGACAGACAGACACACACACACACACACAGGTAAACACAACCACAGACATAGATAAGACACAGACAGACACATACACACATAGAAACAGATACACACAGATACAGACACACACCAACACAACCACAGACATAGACAAAGACACACCCACACACACACACACACATCTAAAGACACGCACACATACACAGACACTGATAAACACAACCAGAGACATAGACAAAGACACAGACACACCTAAAGACACACACACACATAGACACACATACATTCACACACACACACACACATACACGCACATACAGTACAGGCACATGCACACAGACACACACATGCACATACACACAAATACACGCTCACTCGTATACACATTTACACAAGCATCCCTACACACTATACACACACAAAAATAGACATATGCATGAACACTTACACGCACACACACACACCTACATACCCACACACCTACATACACACACACACACACACACACAGACACACAAACACAAACACAGATACAGACACTGTTAAACACAACCACAGAGAGAGACAAAGACAGACATGTAGACACACGCATACAGGCACACAGACGCACACTTACACACATGCATACACACACGCAAGCATACCTACACTCACACACAGACGTGCACATACATACACATGCACATACAAGCAAATACAATCGCACACACGCAAGCATCCCTACACTCTATACACACACACAAAAATAGACATATGCATGAACACTTACATACACACACATACACACTCACACACACACGCACACACACACACACACATTCTGCACAGTCTGACCATGCCTGTCTTTTGATGTTGGAGAGACGTGGCCATTGGGACTCCATAAAGACGCCTTGAGCCCAGTCGCCTCCTGGCATCGTAATTGCCGCGCTGCTTTAGCCCTAACCGTTTGTCACGCTTGATAAAGCAAAATGCCAACTGTTACACCATGAAAGGCAGCCACTTGTTCGAATTCTGGATTTTGACTTTGAACATCAAATGGTGTCTTTTCATGATGCAACTTGCAGAAATGCAGTTGTTGTTTTAAGTAAAAGTGGATTCATACAATACAAGAAAAGTCTATTAGTTGTTTTATTGCACCACGCAACCAGGGACAATAGCCAGAAGTCTTTTTGAAACATCATTCGGAGAGGACTTTATTTCTTCCATGTCGATTCGAGCCATTCGCAGCTTCTATTACAGTGTCTGAAGAGGATTAAAAAGGTGAAAGCATAAGATAAATACATTTCAAACCTAATCATGGCTATTTAAGAAGCAGCCACTGGAACTTACTGTATCTCCGTATGTTTTGTGTGCTCTTAATTTCTGTCCTGTTTGTGCGATGCAGCTGTCAAAAGGTGAAAAATAAGGAAGGACCCAAATGATATGATTTAATATAGGAATAAATAGAAATCCAGGATATAAAACCAACTCAAAAATCCAAACAAAACTTAGGAACCAGAAAAACAGACGGACATAGACAATGGACCAGCCACAAATGGGGACGAGCACAGTTACATATAGACACAGAGAGACAGCAGTGAAAGACATGAGGACGGTCAGGGTACAAAATAACAAATTCCATGACAGCAACAACAACATTTCCCCCACTGTGGGACCAAAAACAATTCTTATGTAGTTGTATTTGAAGATTTTGGGTCACACACACATAAACATAAAGACATATTAGTTTATGAAAGTTCATGTTTATGGTTCTGCCCAGACTCTCATTTGGGCAATGCTTTGGCCGATTCACATAATACAAAAAACCAATCAATATCTCCAGCACGATAACAATGGACCAATATCTCCTCTCTGGTTCTGAAAAGGTGCACTTTTCATTCATCCTCTGCATTTGACCCATCCAGATGCCACTAAGGCTGACATCAAGAGCAGTGGTCGCCGTAGTAACAGCGCCTGAGAACCCATCTCCGGATGTTGATGCTTGGCTTGGTCAGGACTACCAGAGCTGGAGGATTTAACCTAGTGTGCATGTTTTTAGTGGTAGGGGAAACCAGAGTACCCGGAGGAAACCCACGCAAGCACGGGGAGAACATGCAAACTCCACTCAGAAAGACCCCGTTCTGACCGGGATTGACCCAGGATCTTCTTGCTGAGAGGATAAGGAATACTTTAGTTTCCCATTTCAACAATGATACAGCATCTATGAGATTTAGCGTTCGGTAAATATGTATATAGTTTTTATGGATCAAGGAAGGAGTTAAGTGATGCCAAAGATAATAGCGGGGCTGGGGAAAATGATGAAAAATGTCTATGGAATAAAAAGCAGTCTGCAGTGTCACCTTTAGCTGACAGCTAGCATAAACAATGTTCTATCTGCCCCGAAACACTGGAGTGGCTTCTACGCACCAGACGAAGCAAAACATTACATTATGCATAGTGTATTTTCCACGGTTGGCCAGTACAGGCACAAGGACAGACGTCTTTGATAGAAATGTTGGGGAAAATAAATTGAAAAGCACAGTCTACAATTGACACCACACACCCAGACAAACAGTCGCATGTGGAGAAAATATGTGAAAAAAGTGCAGAAAAGCAGAATATACAGCTAAAAGGTAAACACAGACCCTATAAGCCAAAGTCGCCTCAACTTTTTTATGTAACATTACTCTGTGAGTAATGACACACTTCAGTCTTTATTGTTTGAATTGGCATGTTGTTATGTGAAGTGGTTCTTTTGGCACCCCCCTCGGCTGTTTCCCAGTTAGCTCTGCGTTGTTAGCATCGATAATGTTGTTCTCTGTTGGTCTCAGTCATGGTTTAGCGCTACTACTTAGGGTTGAATGATCCCAAATAGTAGCACTAACCTCTTTTTGTTTGAACACAATGTTACTCAGCCTATAATGGGCCGTTCAAACAATATGATTTCCCATTGAAATGAATGAGTGCAACCGGTTTGTGCTGTAAAAGTTATGTTGAAATTGATTTAAATGCATGTTTTATAATTTGATACTTGGATATGGTTGCAAGGTGAGGTCTCCAGACTGTGATGCCCTCTTAGTTATAGCCAAAAGTCAAATATAAATCTAAGAAAAAGCTTAACTGGAACACATTTTTTGACATTTTTAGCGAGGGAAGGCAAGTTTATTTGTACAGCACAATTCATACACAAGGCAACTCAAAGTGCACTCTAAGTTAAGTCCAAAATGTTTTATGGATTTCATTAAATCTAACACGATCTCAAAAACTTTCATTTGTGAGTATAAGACTTTTCACCAGCATTTGACAGTTATTTTTAAAGATATAGGGTTCATTTGAATGTTGTCGCCCACAATTAGCATGTTGTGACAAACAAACCAACAGATAAAGTTCACAGACAAAAATACACCTCCATCACACCTCATCATCGGCACCTGTCCTTGTTAGCGATGTCTCACAGTTACGGAGTATATTTCCTCTCATGTAAAGCTTTTATAATTTATACTCATCTTGTCAGCGAGAATATTCCAGGCTGATAAAACAGCATTGCTCCACAGTGAGGGAGAGGGAACTACACTTGTCCCCACAGTATGATAGTTTATATTTATCAGAATCAAGCTTAATTCAAAACATTCAAAAGTCATTTTTATCCTTACTCTTTTGTAATCCAGAATTCGGTGTCGTGCATGTCGTAGCACTCTCGCCTCTCAGCAAGAAGGTCCTGGGTTCGAATCCCGGTCGGACCAGGGCCTTTCTGAGTGGAGTTTGCATGTTCTCCCCGTGTCTGCGTAGGTTTCCTCCGGGTACTCCGGTTTCCCCACCACTAAAAATATGTCCAATAGTTCTGGCATGCGCCTCCTGTACTGGCGACCCCGCTCCCATCTCTGTGTGGAGTGAGAGACAAATGCCCAAAAAAAAAATGTACAATTGTAAACCGCTTTGAGACTCGGATCTGCAGTGAAAAGGTGGTATATAAATAAAGATTACTTACTAATAAAGATTACTTATAACAAACCCAACACATTATGTTTGTGTGACAAATGTACAAATTATTATGATTTTTGAAATGGGTTTGTTTTGTTCATGCTGTTTGATTCAAGACAAACCCAGATTCATTTAATATTTTAACTATATTTGTTCTACTTGTTCATTGGCTTTGTGTCCCATCCATCCATCCATTTTCTTCCCCTTAATCCATTTCTGGGTCGGGGGGTGGCAGTCAGAGCTGCACCCAGTACACAAAGCACCAGCCCCTCACTGATCCTCCTGCAGGTGGTGAGTCCACAGGAGCTGAGGTCTTTCAACGGGGGCTTCAGGCAAAGTGAGGTTAAGTGTCTAGCCCAAGGACACAACAATTTGTTTGCCAATTTTTATTTTATTTTCTCAAATCAAAATTGTTCATTTTGAGATTTGTCAAAATCTCACATTAACTCAGTATGTTTAGAGGTTAGTCAGAGAGAAGAAAGAGTAAAAAAGCGTTCCAAAATCCCACTTTCTCTTCAGTTCAGAAATGACTCCAAACATTTATGTAAAAGTTGATT